GAGTTCCTTCCCTCTGTGGTAAAGTCTATGCACAGTGCCAAAATGGTGGGTTGATGTGCATGGATCCCATGGAGGGGCCTGTCCGACTATCCTCTCTTCCTGCCTCAGGGTGGGCACTGACGTGTGCGCCTGCGGATGCGGCTGGCGGGGGGGGGGGGGGGGGGGGGGGTGGTTCACTGGCAGTCTGCGGGGAGGGAGGACGGGCTCTGGCCCCTGTTCCCTCCGCTTGTGGGGCTGGCTGCTGGAGCCAGCCTGGGAGGTCACAGTGACATCTAGTGGTCACAGCAGGCCGCAGCCCCACGGGGTTTTCCAGGTGTGGGTCTGAGTCCCATGAGGGACAGGGCTAGGCTTCTGAGCTGCTCCCAGCCAGCGTCTGACTTCTCTCTAGGGCCCCAGGACAGTAGCGCAGGGCAGGACCGGGGTTGTCTGGTGCAAGGACCAGGGCCTGGAGAGAGTCTGGGCCACCTACAAGTCAGCGAGGGCAGGGCCAGGATGGTTCCTGCGGCCCAGGGCCATCTGCCACCCTCCTTCCACTTTGGCTCCCTTGGCCCTGCCCGGCCGGGACCGCACGCCTCAGCCTCAGCTCCCTAAGACCTGGCAGGGGGACCTTGGGGCACCCCTTGGAGCAGCCACAGACCCACTTTTGTGCAGCTGCTGAGACCAGTGGCAGCCAATGGATGAGGGACGGGCAATGGACCTCATTTACCTACCAAGCACCTACTATGTGCCAGGCACCACAGAGGGCAACCGGGGGGGTGGGGCCGCCTAAAGAGCTGCCCGTCTGTTCCGGGCTGGGCCTGCCTGAGCACAGAGGAGCCTGAGAGACCCGTCCTCGAAGGGGCAGGGGTCCCTGGTGACAGCTACAGGAGGTGGCACCGGCTGAGTGGGGTCTCGGGCAGCACGGAGGTGGGCCTGGGGGCAGCCAAGTGTCCACCCTCATCCTGCCTGTTAGCACTGTCACCACCAGGGTGTCCAAGAGTGTCCTGCACTGTGTGGCCCTCGCTGGTGCCCAGGAGATGCTGGTGAAAGATGGGGTTGGTGTAGGGGTGCAGGCTGCAGGGGCCCTAGTCCTGACTCCTGGCTCTCAGCCCCTCTGTCAGTGAACAGCTGCCCAAGCTCCATTCTCTCTGCCACGGTTTGTTGTGGACCATTTGCAGGCTGTAAGGGGAGAGTAGAGGGACTCTGCTCTCAGAAGGAGGCTACAGAAATCCTACTGTGCTTTTTTTGCATTAACAGTTCCTTCCTGCTCCTCCTTCTCCACTCTTTGCTTTCCTAGTACAGGCGTCTCTGTGCTGCTCCTGGGCCCTGTATGTCCTCTCCTGTCCCTTCCTTGCTTCTCTCTGTACTCCCCCTTTCTGCCCCTCTTGTGCTCAGCCCTCCTGCTCCCCACCCCCTCCCCTCCTCTTTCTGTCCCTCCGTCTTTTGCTGGCTTTGTCTCCGTGACTGTTTCTTCCCCCAAGCTTCTCTGTGTTCTCTCTTCCATGCCTCTTGGTCTCTCCCCCGCCTCCCTGGAAGGCCAGCCTGATGTTGTTCAAGTGCAATAGCTTGATGACGTGCCCAGGGAAGGAGGGGGGCAGAGATCATCACCTATCTTTTTGATGAGCCTCTTGTGCAGCCCCAGGGAGTGGTTGTGCTCTCCCCAGAGCCCAGAGCACCACCGCTCCCCCCCAGCTTCCCCCCCCCCCCCACCCCGCCACCAGCTGTCATCGAGCACCTTGGGCCTTCTTCCCCCTTGACTGGCCAGGTCTGCAGATCCTGGATGGTCCGGCTACCTGTGCAGGCAATGAGAGCTGACTCCGGCCCCCTGGGGAGTCATGCTTTGGGCATGCTTCTGGGTGTCACGGGGTCTTCCCTGACAGCTGGGGATGACAGAGCCCACATTTACAAGTTTATATAAATACGTACTGAATGCCATCAGGGACCAGACACTGTGCATGGCCTGCCTCTCCTGGCCGTCACAGCCACCCGGTGCGGGGGGCTGAGCAGTGACCACACCCCCATGAGAATCCAGAAGGCCTCAATAGCAGGCTTGCTTAAGGCAGGCCCCAGGATGGCAGATGGACACATGGCTTTTATGGAGTTCACGGCCTACTCGTACCAACATCCAGTCAGTCTGTTCAGGAGTATGGCCGGGGCCTCCAGGCACCTTGGCATTCACAGATGTGTCCCCAGAGCCCTCCCCCAACGCAGACATGGTGCTTGTTTCCCAGTGACACAGTTGTGTCTGTTGTTGTTTGCGAGAGGCTCTGAGCCTACCCTACTGCCCCGGTTCTCCCTTGCACGCGCTCATTCCTTTCCCCCAAGTCACAAACCCAGCCATTGCCGCTAACCTTCCCCCCAATTATGGCAATCATTTCTGATTGCATGTTCTGATTAGACAATTGCATTTGCTCATGCTAATTGCATAATTACGACAAGCAATTACATGGGAAAAATTATGAAATTTCCAGGTTCCAACTATGACTTGAGGGCCCAGCAAGGTGCCCCCTATTGTCCCCCTTGGGGAAGGCAATGGGAACTCCAGGCACTGCTCCAGGGGGCAGGTGGTGATCTTCTCTCTCAGTTTCCTGGAACAGCGCTAATTCTGCCGCTTCTCTCCTCATGGCCCTTTAGGACCATGGGACTCTCTAGACCAGGGAGCCTGATTTGAAAAGCATAAATCAGCAGCTGTGGCCCTCACCTGTCACAGGGGCACCAAGTAGCCTTGGAGAGATGGAGCCTGAGATGGGGCTCTCACATGCTTCTAGAAGCCAGGCCCTTCCCCAGTATTGCCAGTGTCCTGGGCAACACCCCCTGGGTAGATGGTCTGAGGCAGAGAGGCGAGGCAGGCGGCTTGTGTCCCATCCTCCGTGCTCAGAACTCTGACTCCCGCCACTTTCCTTGGAAGTCCCACAGCCAGTGAGAGAGATTGCAAGCCACCCTCTTCCCCATCTCACCTTCTTTTGTGTCCTGCAGAACACATCTCAAACTTTGGCCCCCTCCAGGAAGCCTTCTCGGATTAACTCTGCTCTGGGCATCTCACATGGTATGTCCTCAATCCTGCCCATCCCATGCGTTGTCTACCACAGGATCCTCCCCTCCAGAGGCTGGGAGCTCCCAGTTGGCCAGGGAGAAGCCTCATCCCTGCGTTACTCCCTCTGCACAGATGCCCTGACATCATGGAATCCACGGGGAGGGGAGGGGGGGGCAGGGCACACACTCTATGCACATTTGCAAATTCTGTCTTATTTCAGATGCACCAAGGGAGTTGACTATTTAAAGAATACTATAGCAGATCCTTTGGTAAAGATTAGAATCACTTGCTGATTTAATTTTCGTGTGAATTTGGATTTTCATGTCTCTAGGGGAAGAGGGAGGGGCAAAGGAGAGGCTGCAGGCAGGTTTATATCTTTCCACAGCCTGTCATACTGGATCCTGCGTAGCTCAGCATGTTTAAATTTTATCTTCATTCAGAAGACGTGATTTGAAACCTTCTCTGTACCCGGCTCTGCGCCGGTGGCAGGGGATACAAAGACTGGTGCAACTCCCTCCCTCCTGATAGTGAGGGAGACACAGACGCGTGCCAGGGGCATCCACACAGGTGTGCTCAAGGGGGGGGTGACAGATGCAGGGACATGGGACTGCCTGCACCCAGGACTGGGACAGCAGGGAAGGCTTCATGGAGGAGGTGGTTTTCAACTAGCATTACAGACTTCACAGGGGACAAGCAAGTAGAGGACATGGCAGGTGGTTGGCTGCAGCGGAGGGTGCAGTGGGGGGAAACAATGAGGTTTGGGCGGCAAGCAGGGCAGAGCCATGGTGCCCACGGATGTGGGGCTGAGGAGGCTAATTTTGATTCCAAAGGCTAAAAGGATTAAACTGGATGGTGTTACGCAGAGCAGGGACTTGGCTCACTTCTATTTAGGAAGAGCCCTTTGGCTGCTGCACGAATGGACCCAAGGGGGTGGGACTGGACAGAGGATATGAACTATGAATTCTGAGCCACAGAAAATGGAGGAAGGGGAGAACCTGAATTGGCTTGGGGTCAGTGCAGATGTGGACGAGACAAGACATGGGTTTTGGAGACCTTTCCGAAGGAGAAGGGAAATAACAGGAGGGCTCATTTCAGGGAGAAGAGGGGGAGGGAGGCACAGAAGCAGCAGGGAGCCTGTGGCAGCACTCTGGTTGGTGGGAAAGGGCAAGATGTCAGGGATTTCTTGCCTGGTGGGCTTGGTTTCCCTATGGACTAGAATTTGGGTCACTGCCGAGAGTGAGAACGTGGCCTGAAGCTGCCAGGACCTGAAGCGACCCTGGGCAGGGTATCAGGGCTAGGTGCTGTGGAAGGGAAAGGTCTGGAAAGTCCAAGGTGTTGGCAGCTTGGAGGAGATTTTTTTTTTTTTAATGTTTGTTTTTGAGGGAGAGAGCACAAGCGCGAGAGGGCAGAGAGAGAGGAAGACAGAGACTCCAGAGCAGATTTCAGGCTGTCAATACAAGGCACAACGGTGGGGCTCGAACCCACGAGCCGTGAATCATGATCTGAGCCTGTGGGAAGTTCTACTGACTGAGCTATCCAGCCGCCCCTGGAGAAGGTGGTTTTTAACCAGTGTTCAAGTGTAGCCCAGGCTGAATGGAAGGAAAGGAGAGGAGGAGGAAGAGGAAGAGGAGAGCTTGCAGAGAAGAGTGGAGCATGGAGAGTGAGGGAGCCGGGAGGGGCTCCCTGGCAAAAACCACCCCACCAGAGATGCACCCGTTTCCCGCTGCACCTGTTTCCAAAATTCGGTTACGATGATACCTTCCTCCTGGGCTTAAATGTGCCAGCGTATATAAAGGGCTTGACCCAGGAGACCTTAGACAAGCGGACAGAAAACTGCCAGCACAGAAGTAGCTGACATGGCAGAGGCCCCATGCGTGTTCCGTATTCACCTCGGAGCCCTGGGTGTCTGCCGAGTGCCCGGAACACCAAAGGCCCCGAGCAGATGTTCCTGGAGGCAACAGGCACTGACGGCGAAGACCCAAGCTATGCTGCCTGTGTGTGATCAAGCTGGGCTCCGTGGTCCCCTCTGGCAAATGGTGCCTCCGAGGTTGTGAGGATTCGATGCGGCGAGGCCCCCTGATGCAGACACGGGTGGTGAACCGTTCTGTCCTCTCCACGCTCACCTTCCTGAACGCCTGAGGCCTCCCCCTGCTGGCGCCTGCAGATCTCTGCCCAAGGGTTTTCCTCTGGTCACAGGAGCAATGGCACTCGTGCAGGGCACGCAGCCAAGGGGTTAGCACCGCCACCAACCAAAGGCAGGGGCCCAAGCACACACATTCGGGTGGTACCACTCAGGTGGACTCTACGCAGCCTTCCGGAGCACCCAGCAGGATTGAAGCCTCCCGGTTACTCACGAGGGCAACCTGCTTCTTCCTTCAGCTCTGTCTTCCCTCCCTTCCTAGTCTCACCTCCTCACCTCCCTGCTGGCGCTTCCCGGGGCCTCCTCCCAGCTAAATTCACGCCCTCGAATCCCTGTCTCAGGGTCTTCTTCTGGGAAACCCAAGCCAAGGGAGCGTGTAAAGTGCTCGACAGGAAGAAGGCACTTGGTAAATGTTAGCCGGCTCGCTAGACTGAAAGCTTCGTGAGGGCAGGATGTATCCATCGCGACAGCATCTCCCCCATCCAGGGACAGGTCCTGGCGAAGAAGGCACCCCATCCATATGTGTCGAATGAATCCACGAGGACGTGTTTCCTTTTGCCCTCTCTGCTTTGGGACCCTCCTGTTCCCTCTCCCGCTCTCCTTTCTCCGGGTCACGTCTTTTCTTTCCTGGCCCTCCTTTTCTCCTCTTCTCTCCTCCTTTCTCTCTTCATGGAGAAACGAAGGGAGACATGTCCCTCTAATTTTGCCAAAGTCCCACTCTCAGAATGAGCCCTCCTGTAGCATTGTGACATCACTGTGCATTAGCCAATGGCTGTCCATTTGGGCTGCCCCCCCCCCCAGCCTCCGAGGGCCACCACCCCCCATTGATAGGAGAAGTCACCTGCTCCGGCACTGGCCCTTAACCCTCAGGGCAGCTGCAGAGTGGAGCATGGATCCCTCCTGATTCCGTTCTTGGCCCGATGTTCCTCACAGTCAAGCTGCTTCTGGGCCAGCGATGCAGCCTAAAGGTGTCAGGGCAAGAGAGTGTGGCCATGCTGAAGAAGCTGGTGTCGGAGCGACTGCAGGTGCCCGAGGAGCAGCAGCACCTGCTCTTCTGAGGCCAGCTTCTGGCCGATGACAAGCGTCTCTCCGACTGCCGCATCGGGCCCAACGCCTCCATCAATGTCATCATGCGGCCCTTGGCAAAGTCCGCTCCCGGGGAGGCCCACCAGCCCCAGCCCCTGTGGCACCATCTGGGCCTGGTCTTAGCCAAACACTTTGAGCCCCAGGACACCAAGGCGGTGCTGCGGCTGCTGAAGCGGGAGCACCAGGAGCGCCTGCAGAGGATAAGCCTGGGTGACCTGGAGCGGCTGGCGCAGTGCCTCCTGCTAGAGGAGCCGGTAGTGGCGCCCCCGGGGGAGAAGGAGCCTGAGGCCGAGACCTCGGCGCCCCAAGACAAGGAGGAGGAGGAGGAAGCAGAGGAAGAGGAGGCGAGGAAGGCTGATCAGTAAACTGGCCCATCCTACTCATTTGCATGTTCAAATCCACCTGGTCTCATCCTTCTGTGTTCCCTGGTGACTCCCCACTAGTTCCTGCTGAGGGAGATGCGTCCACACCCCTTTCTGAAACTTCAGAGCAGCTGGACCCCTCTTTCCTCTCTTGGGTCTGTGGTACCCGCTCTGAGACACAGTATGATTCCGCCCCCATTACCATCCCTGACAGGGTTCTGATCACCCCATGGGTGGCCCTAAAGGGGTGGTCAAAGGCCACCTCCCCCTCCTGGGCTGGACACCCCCTAGGCAACCTGCCAGGCTGCAGAAAACCTCCTGCCCAGAGTCTCCATGGCTTCTCCTTTGGGGCAGAAAGACAGATAACGTGAGTTCATTTTTGTGTGTCCCCAGGCCATGGCACCTGCCCTCAGGGTGTCTGACAGCCAAGAGATGAGGAATGTCACCCCCTGTCCTCTGAGTGAGGCGATCCTGCTGTCGCTTGTGCTTCCACAGCTCAAGGGGCAGGGCTAGCAGAGGCAGGGAGGCGGGGGGAACACCTACTGGGTGTCAGGCCTGGATGCTTCGGGAGATACACAGACCAAGAACAGCAGGAAACTGAGGCTTGGGCAGAAAAGGTGGTTTGCACAGTCACTCACTGTGGTCAGCGTGACAGACCCCTGCCTCACCCCCTGCCCCAAGTCTCACCCAACAGTGGGTGTCCCTGAGTCCCCCTTATCTGCCCAGCACTCCCCGGGAGCAAGAATGGTACCAGTCGACATCCTTGCCCCCACAGAGCATGCAGCCTGGACAGAGAGGGCAGAAATGTGACAAATAAAGCTGCGACATGACCATAGAGTATAGCCCGTGTGACTGAATATCCAGGTGAAGCCGCCACCTCGCAGGGCCCTGGGCTCAGCTTGGAGGGGCCAGTCTCACAGGCTACAGGAAAGCCAGGCTTCCTCCTCCCTTCTGGTGTGAGTGGGTGGTGCTTGCCAAGGGCTGAGGAGCCCCCACCCTGGGTGTGAAGGGCCACGGAGCTCCCCGAGAGCCTGTCCGCCCAAGTCCCTAAGGTGCTGTTCCTGTGGATCTGTCCTGTGATGGAGGTGGAGGGAAGGCGATGAAGGACAGTGTCCTGAAAGGAACACGCAGGGCCACTTCCCTGGAAACCTTCTGTCCTTGGCCTAGGGCCCCTGCGACCGATTCCAGTCCTAGCTCCGCCGTGGTCTCACTGTGTGACTTTGGTTAACTTACGTTCCCTATCTCATGCAAGGTTTTGCACCTGTTAGATGGGGGTTGTTATATAGCTGAGCCTTGAACAACACGGGTCTGAACTGTGCAGATCCACTTCTAGGTGGGTATTTTTGGATAAATACAGTGCAGTACTGTAACTGTATTTTCCTTATGATTTTCTTTTTCCAATTTTACCCATTTTTAAGTATTTTTTAAATTTTTATTTTATTTTGAGAGGGGGGAGGGGCAGAGAGAGGGAGACAGAGGATCCAAAGCAGGCTCTGTGCCGACAGCAGTGAGCCCAACGTGAGGCTTGAACTCATGAACCGTGAGATCATGACATGAGCTGAAGTCGGACGCTCAACGGACTGAGCCACCCAGGTGCACCCCCCCCTTATGATTTCCTTAATAACATTTTCTTTCCTCTTACTTTATTGTAAGAACATGATATATCATATGTATAACATACAAAATATGTATTAATGGATTGTTTATGTATCGGTAAAGCTTCCAGTCAACAGTAGCCTATTAGTAGATAAGTTTGGGGCAAGTTAAAAGTTATACGTGGACTTTTGACTGGGTGGGGTGGGGAGGGGGTGGGTGCCCCCAAACCCTGTGTTGTTTAAAGGTCAATTGCCTTATGATGCCAGATGCTGTCTCAGCCTCTTCTGTGAGGGCAGGAGAGAGAGAATTTCCCATCTCCAGTGAGGGTGGGAGGGTGTGTGTGATTCGATCAGGGTTTTCACGTTGTATTGCCCTTTCCATCAGCCTGTTATTACCGGTCAGGCAATACTAATAGTGTCTACTTACCCCACAGATGTTTGTGAGGGTTGGTTATGAAGACAGTGCAATCCAGAGTGACGTCTTCTGGCAGAGGGGGCCGTGGCATGGCCCGGAGAGACTCCGGAAAGCAGGTCTGTGGCTCTGTGAGCCTGCTTAGTGGCAGAGCGACCCTCGTTCAGCCAATGCCCATCTCGTCCAGCAGGGCCCCGGCCTCTGCCCCCACCAGCCAAGAGGACAGGGAAGTGGGGCCTCGGAGGGAGCGAGCCCCATCAGGTGTGACCTCTCCCCGGGTCCCTGAGGACTCGGCCTGCGGTGGCTGCCGCCAGCACCCACGGGCCTGAGACCGTTGGGGGGGGGGGGCACCAGCCTGCTCCTTGCTTCCTCTCGGCTCCTGCTCCTGGCACGTCCTCTGTCCTCCACGGAAAGGCCTTCCGAAGGTTCTGTGAGCGTGTTTGTGCTGGGGCTGTGCCATTTGCCAAGGGGGACGAGCCTATTATCTTTACATTAGGGGAACTAATAGCCCATTTCCCAAGAAATCTGTGAGCGATCAAAATAAGTGAGCCGTTTTATTCCTCTTGCGGAGAGAAGCTGGCATGAAGGACGGGGAAGCCTTTGTTTTCTCTCTAGTTAGTGGGAGTGTCAAGGCCAACGGAGAGCAGCCACCTCCGATGCTTCTGTCCCTAGCGCTGCAGGGGAGGGCGACTCCAGTCCCCAAGGAGCGGAAGGAAAGGTGTTCAGCTCTTCCACACCACGGATGCCTCCTGCTGCGGACACCGCCCTTCCCAAGGACCCCCTGCCCCTGCCCACAGGAGCTGAGCATAGCAGAGTGCCATATCACTTGGCACTCCGTGAGAATGTGCTTCCCCTGCTAACCTGTCCCTGGGATGTTTTATTCAATGCCAAGTTCCTCAATGTGCGCTGACAGGCTTTGTCCCCTAGGGAGGATTTACAGGTAGCAGGGGGCAGCAGGTAGTGCATTGGGTGGGGGTGCGGGGGCGGGCAGAAACTCCAGAAATAGGTGAGAACCCTATTCTGCATGGAGAACCCTAGCGCCTGGGCTGCCTGCCACGGAGATCCTTCCCTGTGGCCAGTTTCGCCTGATTTCAAATTTAAACCTGTACCAGTGAACCCGCTGAAGGCTCCCTGTTCCCTTCTCGGCTTTCACCAGCGGAGGGATGTTGGGAATGGGGAAGGTGAAGGTGCTCTTTCTAAACGGCAGCCTTGGGCATATAGCTCTGCCGCTTGATTCCCCACAGCACCTCTCTCCTGCCATGGAAGGACACACAGGTCCCCTCCTCCCCGCTCCCCAGGGTAGCAACTTTGCTCAAGTCGCAAGCATCTCAGGACAGCCAGCTTTGTGTGTCTATCCACAGAGGCATCTGGCTTCTCCTTGTTCCTGCACGCATCACCTGCAGGCCAATGCCCTCAGTCCCCTGGCTCCTGGCAAAATGGCCTTTCCTCGTTCACATCGTTCATGCGTTATTTTATCAGCCCTTTGCTCTTCCTTCAAGAAACACTGGTGGCGGTCCTACTATGCGCCAGGCTTTGTGCTAGTGATTTAGGCTGGTAGATGAGGAGCTCTGTCTTTCCGACAAGGCAGAAAGGAGCGCGCCCCCTGCCGTCCCTTGCTGCGTGGAACAGCAGAGGGGACTCGGGGGAGCCCCAATGTCCCGCCACAGCCCCTGCTTGAGTTGTGCTGTGTGGGTAGCTAGCAGAACACCACTGTTGCCCCTAGTCCTGAGTGATGGGACAGGGGATGGTCTTTCCGGATGGAAACCCTTGTAGATGATGGAGAAGGCAGGCACTTAACAGCGTTCCAGGGGCTACAGAGACCCCCACTGCCGGGTTTTACTAAAAGCGAGTCACGGGTCCTGCCCACATTTTTGAGGAAGAGATCTCACAAAGGCACAGACATCAACAGAAGGAGATTATGGGGGAGGGGGTATCTTGCAGCCTGTCCACCACAGCGCGTGTTGTGGTATACAGTTTTGTGTATGTGAATGACATCATTGACAAAAAAATCAACGAAAGGGTTAGGTTCAGCTGTGTGGGAGCACAGGTGGGCAGTTGCTCTAGCTGAGCTTCAGGGAGGCTTCAAGGGGGAGGCAGCATTTGAGCCAGTGAAGGATGAAAGGAGGGCAGTCGAAGGACACATGAGGGACTTTTCCTGACACCTAGGCTCCACGTGTCACACCTGGAGAACCGCCACTTGGCTTAGCACGCCCAGCTTCTGACCTCGCCGGGTGTGCCCCATGACATCCACAGCCACAAGGACACACCCAAGGCGCACACCTGTCCTGTAAACACAAACCCATAAGGTGGGGTGTATGGTGGCAGAGCCGGGTTTGCAGAGTGAGTGGGAGGCCGGCTGCCACTTGCAGGGTTGGGGTCCACATCTTGCCTTTTGGGGCTCAGGCTGCTGGAGCCCAGCTGGCCCCGCCCGGCCCGGCCCAGGCAGTCCAGCCGGAAGATCCCACACAGCAAATTCAAGGACAGAAAAGGAAGGCTTTGTAGAGCCCAGCCCAGGAACGGCCGGGGCTGCGGGAAGAGGTGGCATGGACCAACTTTGGTGGGTCTAGGTGATGCCTCGTGTGGTCAGGACACGTGGGGACATGAAGCTGGACACGCAGGTGCACACGTTTGTGTACCGGGTGGCAGTTGGGCTTTGCAGGGGTACCTGCAGGTGCACATCGGCCCATGTACGTCGGAGAACAGAGACCCTCTTCTCTGTGTGAACACTCCGGTGTGGCATGCTTGCTTCAGCTCCCTGCCCCAGCCCGGATCGCTCTCCTGGTGCTCTGAGCCGGGCTTGAGTGGCTGCCAGCCTGTGGCAGGGGGTTGGCCAGGGGCCAGGCTGCCTTGGGGGAGGGTCCTGCTTCGGGGCCAGCTGCTGCTCAAGGAGCTAGCTGAGGTGAGACCAGCTGCAAAGCCTGGGCGCTGGGGTCCTCTGGAGCAGATGGTGTTCCCGCCGGCTGGCTCGCCCCACTCTTCCCTTCTTGGCTCACCTTTCTCCTCTCCTTGTCCTTCCTGGGTTTCTTCCTACACTTCTCCTCTACCCTCTACCCTTTCCCTCCCGTTTTCTCTGACCACATGTGGGGCTGAGCTGACTGCATTGTGTGGACATCTGGGCACCTCCCTTGAGCGCTCTTTCTCTCTGCTCCGTATGTCTCAGTGCTCATCCACTGCCTGCCTTCCTTTTCTTCCCATTCTGCTCAGTCAGCCCTCGTGGTCCTACTGAATGCCACCACCAACTTCTCTCCTTGTCTTCCCGGCGTCTTCTTTCTCCTGTATGTCCTCAGACTCACCCAGTGCGCGGGCATGGACAGGGACCCGGAAGCTACTACCTTTGAATAGGTCCTGACCCTGCACCCCACCTGCCCACACGTGCAATACCAATTCACAGGTGCATCTAGCCAGCCCTGTGCTCAAGTGCAATGGGAAATGGCCTCATTGCACGCATGCCCCTGCTTGCTGACGTAGACCCCCAAGCAGACACACATCCAGAGAAAGGGCACAGATAACCGCACACATGGCGTTGCCACAAACAGCCTTGCTGGCAGAGGGACATGCTGCTAGGGAGATGGGACTGCTTAGGCAGGCACACGTGCGGCACCGGCCACAGCAATGAGCTGCTTCTCCAAGTCACGGCGGCCAGCAGTTTCGGTGCCGGGTCCCCGCACTTTCATGGCTCCGCCCTGGCCAGCCCAGTGGGAGCTGGGCGCCCTCGTTCTTCTGGGTCACTTCCTGCAGTCCTTCCCGGCTCTTCCCCAGGTGGCTGCTTGGTTCCCCTGGGCTCCAGCACTGTCAGTCCCCTTCTGGAAAGGACTCTAACCCAAGGAG